ATTTCAAATGATTAATTTATGAATGCATGTTTTTAGATTATGATTGATTTAGATGAATGCGTGTTTTCTATTTTAGATTGCATTTCAGCAAGAATGAAGTCTGGCCTGCTTTTCCAGTTCATATTGGTATCTGTCACGTGAGTATACTTTGAACATGTTGCAAGTAAAACACAAGAATAGATATGTTGTTATTAGGCTGCAATTTTGTGGCATTTGAGTTTAAATAATCTTTTTCTAAACCCTCAGTGTTTTCTGCCATGGAAATGACCAGTTCCTCAATGACGATGCAAACCTCATTCTCCCGGGGTCCTACAATATTCCATGGATGGCGGGCATTGAGGATTTCCGCACCCTCTCTCTCCTCACCTTCCCCGGTACCCACGACAGCATGGCCCTGTACGGCGGTCCAGAGGCTGAACACCAGGCTTGGGCCCTGAAGGATCAACTTAGAGCTGGCATTCGTTTCCTAGATCTCAAAGTATTTGGACTGGGTAACACCCTCTATATCATGCGTGGGGTGATGTACCAGCACAGCACTCTCAAGGATGTCATTGACATTGTCCAAGCCTTCCTGTCAGAGTTTAAGACTGAGGCTGTGCTCATTAGAGTCCAACCAGAGTCTTTTGAGAAGCAAACTGTCAATGAAATGGTGCAGAGTCTAATTGGTAACAACCAGAATGTGTGGGTGAACACTGCGATGCCAAATATGGGTCAGGTGAGGGGTAAAATTGTCTTTTTGCAAAAGAGCACCTTCACATTGGGAATTCCCCTCATAGATACAGATGGAAAGCATTACAATGAGGTTAGTGATGTTAAAAATAAAGACAAAATGATAAGTAAGCAGCTGAGCCAAGCCAATGAAGCTTGTGGGGGTGATAATGCTATTTTGACTGACAGTACTGGCACAGGCTTTGGTACTTTCCGGGGAATGTTTCTGACTCCAAAGCGAGTCGCTGAAAAGGTAAACCCATGGCTCAATCAATACCTGAGACAGTTTTACCCAAATCAGCCCAGACCATGCTTTGGTATCATTGCCATGGACTTCCCCGGCATTGACCTCATTCAAACTGTTATC